CCCCAAAACCCCAAAACCCCAAAACCCCAAAACCCCTAAATAGATAGATAAAATTGAACCATAACTATATATTCCTGGACATCCGGATTATAATTATAGATATAAAAATATTATGCATCCTCACAATAGCCAGAACGGTAAGTATTTAGCAGCCATCATTAGATGCGACTTTATTCTCTTTTATTCTACCTTATAGGCTTCATATTCAGTTAAAAATATAGTTATTGTTGAAGTATTAGAAAGATGTTTATAACCTCAGATTCCTCATAAACAGTATTTATCATCCCATCTGCTTCAAAATTCGACAATATAGATGACCAAGATGACTACCTTCAAGATGAGGATTTGGTAGAAGCAATGCAGCACAGTGTCTGGGGGCCGGTTCTCATGCAGATGGGCGTTTCTAACCACAATGGTAATTTTCGTTAATAATTTTCTTCTCTATAAGCTTCCATTTAAAAATTTTGATTTAGATACCCGAATGGAAAACATCGACGAGGAAGATAATTCCTATCAAGAACCATCTTCAAGCTCTGAGGACCAGGAAATGTCAAATGAACTTGAAGAAAGCTCAGGAGAAGACAACCCCATGAGTGAAGCAGAAGGGACAGATAGTGATTGACTTAAAGAGATCATCGTTGATCAGGATGAGCTATCCATGATAAGCTGCGATGATCCCTACACCTACACTAGCTGAGAGGATTCAAAATAGGATTCTAATGACAAAAGAAGAAGCAGAACAGTTTTTGAAGTCTTCAAGTTATTTCAGTATTTCAAATGAGATTTCCAAATGATCCCCAAATTCTTTAAGATACAATGGCACTAGAGGTCCACTTTTAAATAAAACGAGATGCCTTGAAATATGAAGTCCAACTTCAAATTACATTCATAAGCTTGTAGTAATGAATCAAGATATAAAAATCCAGAATTTGAAAATATTTTTAACTTCTTACACTCAAGACAACTTAATAGAATTGAAGATTAACAAGACAACCTTAAAATATCATGACATACGCTTGGCAATGAAATCCAAGTCCCTTAAGAACCTCAAAAGGCTGGACCTGAGCGATAGCAAAATTGAGATGAACTCTTTGCTTGCTATTATTGATTCTCCCAACTTATCAAACCTTGAGTCTCTAATATTAAACAGAGCATTTAAGGACAAAAAATTGGACTATATTAATTACTATCGTTCTTATCTAACTCATCTCAGAATTCTTTCCCTTGAAGGCAACGATTTGCATAAAATGTTAGTAAATTTTGCTCTTTTAGGACTATTCTCGCACAGCTATGCTGAATGTAAAAGAGCAAGTCAGAGTAGAAAACCATCACATTTCTGCTCCATCGAGACCCTCAACCTAGCAAGTTGAAACCTTGATATTGATGACATCAAGACACTTGATAATATACACGAGTGAGAGCAATGAGCCCCTTTCTCCAAGCTGCGGTTACTGAACTTACCGTTCAACAAAATAACTCGAGAGGAATTTGATGAATTCAAAGGCAAAACTGTTCCAGAGCCAGAATTCTTACTTTTATCATAATAAAATTTATATTTATTTTCAATATAAATTGTTTTTAAAGGGGTTTTGGGGTTTTGGGGTTTTGGGGTTTTGGGGTTTTGGGG